GAATGCTACCCACTCTAGTACTCAGCCTACGGCACGAAACCCCAAACACAACGCACGCGGAAAGCCGCCTGCATCTCAGCAAGTGCGGTCTCGTGAGCGCTCGAAGACGGGTCTCCAACTGGACTTTGGTTTTGGATTTAGGGTTTAGGGTTTAGGGTTTAAGGTTTAGGGTTTAGGGTTTAGGGTTTAGGGTTTAGGGTTTAGGGTTTGAGGGAACTGATCATACTCACTTCAGGATGTAATGTAATTACGTATAGCCCTGAGGCTCTGAGGACGCATATTCTAAGGGTTTCAGCCCCAGAGGCCGGACTATATAATTCGGCTTTTAAGGGTTTAGGGGTTTAGGGGTTTAGGGGTTTAGGGTTTAGGGTTTAGGGGTTTAGGGCTTTAGGGGTTTAGGGTTTAGGGTTTTGGCTGTTTCGAGTTTGACAAACTCTTGAAGGGATTCTTCGGAGAGGGGTTTCTTCAGTTGCACGGACGCGCAGCATGCGACATTCGCAGACCAAAGAATTCAGAAACATCCAAGGACATGAGAAAACAGGTTTAGGGTTTAACGGTTTAGGGTTTAGGGTCATTCCGACAGCTGGGGACAGAATCCTCGAAGCTGTGTGGCCATCAGGGACTCAAGGCTTGACCCAGAGAGCCCAAGACCCCTTAAATGAGGAATATGGCTTAAATTATAAGGGGCTTCATATTATGATTTACGCTATATTCCTTATTTAAGTGGTATTGGGCTCTCTGGGTTGTTCACCGAATCTTTTCTTGCTGCGGTTAATGAACAAAACCGGAGCCGAACGCGACCAAGTCCGATCAGGAGACTAGCGACGAAGACATCGTGCGGCATATCCCTCTGAAAATCATCGGCGACAAAGACAACAGGAAAAGTGCGAATATGTTAGGGTTTTTTTATGTCTGAACATGTTTTGAATTTCTTTAATAAGAGTAACAAGCTCCTACTCTTCTGTTTTCGTTTTCAACATTTCTTGGGTTTTCTTGATATGCTCGCATTTTCGGTGTACTGTGATGTTTCTGTTATCTTTTTCGAAATTGGGCCGCCGCTTTGGAAGTCCTGCGTGAGATTTGGGCACATTGTGGGGAACGCTGTCGGCAGATCCATTTGGTTTCCGGGTCTGGCGGACACAGAACCTACGGCTTCGTGCATGGAATCTTCCCTTGATGTGACCCCTAAGTTTGTTCGTTTTGGGCACAGCTTCAGATTACACCAATGGCCCAATGGCTGCAGGCACAGAGGGGGTAACCATGAACAGCAAAAACTTGTTTTTCATCAGAAAGCGTTCTCTCTAACATCTTTTTAATTCATCAGTCATGCTCGCGCTCTCCATGGCACTTGACGAAGCCCCTTTCTGAAGAGATCCCTTGATTTGAGCCTTAGGGTCGGGGCCTTCATGAGTAGAATCGGGTTTTGGCGTACAAAACACTATAGTTACTCATACAATATGAGTAGCCACTGTATAACATATAGGAATTATGGTAACCTGTCTGGTTATTCCGGCCAAAAACCCTGAACCCCAAACTCTGAAGCCTAAGCCCTAAACCAAACCTTTAACCCCAAAACCTCTGGTTCCTATAGGGTTTCGGGCTTCGGGTTGGGGGTCCATAAGGCTTCGGGTCTTCGGCTTTCCGCATGGCTTCAGGTTTCGTCTAGGGTTTAAGGTTTTCGGGTTTAGGGTTTAGTTTAGGGTTTTCGAGTTTAGGGTTTAGTTTAGGGTTTGAGGTTTAGGGTTTAGTTTAAGGTTTGAGGTTTAGGGTTTAGTTTAGCGTTCAGGGTTCGACTGCCGCAAAGGGACAGTTCTGATCTGGCCGCTCATCATTCATCGGTTTCGGCATGCTTTGTCACCTTGGCTGTGCTGGCTTTAGGGGCTTGAGGTTCAGGGTTTAGGGGTGTGGGGCTCAAAGCCTAAACCCTAAACCCTAAACCCTAAACCCTGGGTTTGGGACTCTGGGATGTAAGAAGAACCCCTAAGGAAAAGTTGCAAAGAGTAACCATGCGACAATTACTTGTGTTTGGGAAGTGATGCGGCGAGGTATTAGAGGGCGCCTGCTTCAGAGTTACCCTAAATCCCCATTAAACCCTATAAACCCTAGCCCCCGAACCCCGAAACCATAACCCCTAAACTCCTAAGCCCTTAACCCCTAAACCCCTGATCCCTAAGAGTAGACGCTCAGGCTTTCGGCTTCAGGAATTGAATGTCAAAGAGCCAACACCCAAGAACCACAGGAGACCCCTACAGCTTAAGACCTAAAGCACCTGATCTGTACCAGGACCCTCCGAAGAAGTGCCCGTTTATAGCACTCTTATGGTCCTTGAAAGTGGGCACTTAGGGTGTATTAGAGGGTAGTTGGAGGGTCTACGTCAACCCCAAACCCTTTAAACCCTAAACCCTGAACCCTAAACTAAACCCTAAACCCTGAACCCTGAGCTATACCCTAAATCCTAAATACTAAACCCAAACCTGTCTGTCAAAGAGCCAGCGCCTTAAAAACACAGGGCTGGGCAGGGCTCGGCTGGTACGACTGCGAACTGCCTCTGAGCCAGATCTTGCAATTCTGGCACTTAGAGGGTCTCGGGCTTTGGGTTTAAGGGTTTAGGGTTTAAGGGGTGTTTAAAACATCTTCGGGTTGTAGGGCCTTAGGGACTCGGGTTTGGGGGTTTTGGGTTGCAGTTTCCACTGTCTTCAATCTCTTCGACGAAAAAACTCCTGAGCACCTATAGCTGTCTCTTAAGGAGTATAATGAACAAAAGTTAAGAATTGTTTCTAAGTCCCTCTCAATATGGGGATTACACAGACCAGAAAGCCGGTTTCCCAATATGGGGTTTAGGGTTTGCGGTGTTCGAGGCCCTGTTTCGTCATCTGTATAGGTCCTGAGGATCCTTCGAGCGAGTCTACTCGAGCTGCAGCTTCGTTCTGAGACAACTGCGTCGCCACTTGAGTAATATAGGGGCCTTTTTAGAATAGGGTTTTCGGGCCCATTATACTATGATTATGATAAGGAACCCCCCAAAATAGTATAGGTAATTATTTGAATTTAGATCCCTATAGTAATGCTGCTTCGCAGGGAAACAGGGTATCCCCGATCTTCGGCAAGTACGCCCTGGCGAGAACACACTCCTCCAGCCGTAAAGTCTACAAGTTCTACCTCGTGTACAGTCAGACGGTGTCTAGGCTCTTGCTGGTAGATGGGTCGTTCTCTAAATGACCTTTTTGTAAGGGTGCCGTACTATATTGGGGACCTAAAATAGGGACGCTAGTTTAGAGAACTACCCATCTACTCCGAAGGAAGGAGGAGAGGCAAGAGGGACGATACTTGAGAAAGAAAGAAACACCCGGGACCGCCCAAAAAAAAGGCAGTCCCTGAGGCTCCACACATAGTAGGGTTTAGGGTTTAGGGTTTAGGGTTTAGGGGTTTAGGGGTTTAGGGTTTTTTTTTTTTAAAGTGGGACACGCCTTTGACTGTCGACGCTGCCATGTAGGCTACCACTGAGTGAAACTAGTTAGGCTCCTCAGGCACACCCTGTACACCACACTTCAGTGTTCGTCCTCTAGAAGGCGACCGTGAACGACCAACAGGTTCGGTACTTCCATCCTCCATAGAATCATCCTTCAGCGTATCATCAGGACACCCATCTTCTGCATCACCAGCAACATCCACCGCAGCCACCGAGGTACTCGACACAGTATGTTCACCGACAGAAAGAGCAAGACCCTCAGGTAGGACAGCGAGATTGCCAGGGACAACTTCACCATGTGCAGAGGGTACAGGCAGATCATCCCAAGCAGCAAGCAAGGAATCACCACCCATTACTCCAGAAGTGCAACCATCCGCATCCACACAAGGAGCATCTTCAAGTAGTCCAGGAGACAGTGACGCGACAACCTCCTCCGGAAAAGCTGACACAGGCGCGGCATACTCATCCTGAACATCCTGCAATTCCACCATCGACATCCCAACAGAGTCCAGAGAGCTGCCCTCCGAAGGCCCAGCCTGTGCACCACGGTCACCGGCCACATCCAAGGCAGTCACCACCGTGCTCAACAGCATGTGTTCACCCCCAGATACAGGAGGACGTACAGGTAGAGCAGGAAGACCACCAGGGAGAACACCAGCAGACACGTGCATTGTCCAAGACGTCAAACATCTGACGCATACACGACATATGCACCTCCCTTGTCAGCAAGGAACATCCAGTCACCAAGGTAGCACGACAAGGAGGGGAAGGAAGAAGCGGACGAGCAACTTGACGAAGTTCAAGCACATCCTCCAACCCATCCAACATCCTCCGGTGCGTTCGAACCACATGTCGAAGGACACCCACCATCCAAACACCCTCTTCACACGGCAGCGCATGTAGCATTTCAAGAACCTGGCCTAGTTCCCGAGTGCACGGATACGTCCATCCCATTTCAACCAGCGACACACCCTCCTGCGCAGAGAGGACAGGCACACGTTGCATAAGGCCTGTCTCATCAGTTTCAACTTCCACGGGAGCAGTCGGCACATCCCCTTCTGAAGCAGCCACCTCATTCTCATTGTTCCCAGCGGTATCACGACGAGGACTGCGCGAACGTGTATTCCGACGACCACCAGTAGGATCATCCGACGAAGTGGCTACCATTGGCTCCACCCCAGCATTATCATTGCCTCCGCCATAGCCAACCACATCCACGGGTGCATCGTCGGCAACATCCCCATCTTCACTCTCCTCATGCTGGTACACTTCCATCGGCGGCACCTGACGAAGGTCTTCAGGAAGACTGTCCGGATCCAACCAAGCTGAAGCCAAATGATTATGCAGATTGTCCAGGTACGTCCTCGAAAGAGACACAACCAACGAGTGCGCTATTTGACATACACCCCCTCGACCATCAGAGTCAGGTAGAATACATGGTTCACCCCGAAGACGACGTACAATGAGGCTGCTGATGTGGTCCTGTACTTGGATACAGCTCCTCACTGCCAAGTCAACAACCCGCAGACACCACTCCACATCCGTAGCCTCAATCTCCCCACGGGCAGATCCATCACGGACGTTGGCAAGACCACCAAAGAACCTGCCCAGAGCCGTCACTGTGTCACGACGCACACCCAAGTTCGACAACTGTTGAGCTTCCGCAGGTTGAAGACGTTGAACAAGCGAGACATCCTCATGCGCCGGTTTCACCTCCGCAGTAGACTCCGTACTAGGGCCTGCGGCTGGAACATCCGCTGACCCAGACGCAGTCGCACTCACCCAAGTAGGGGCCGCATCGTTCACCTCCGTCGTACCAAGGTGTGAAGCAGTCATCTCAGATGTAGCGCCACCAGGTGCATGTACCACAACATCCAATGATGATCCACGCCCCACATCACTAGAGGTGGACTCCTCAGTGTCAGCTGCCGACACACGCCCCGTGACGCGCGGAGCCCTACGGACCGCGGTAGATCCAGAACTAGGGCACATAGGAGAGCGAGAGCGCGACCTCGACCTGGAAGGACTTGGTCTCCCTGTAGGAACACCCACCAGCGTAGTCACCCTATCCATATGCTGTACCATAGCACTGTCAACTAGACTTTCCATCAAGGCTGCTGCAACCGGCGTCCACTGACGGTTCCATTGCAAAGAGCGCACCCGTTGAGCTCCTTCGCGAGGTTCACGAACCACAGGATAGTAGGGAACACCCCGAACATTGACTCGCCGACGAAGACAGTCCATGATGCGGTCCATGTGGATGCACCCAGTCTCCCATGCATCCAACCATTCCACCAGGCCCCATCGAAATTCAGGACCTTCATCGTTAGCGGCATGATCAGTTAGGGGTTTAGGGGTTTAGGGTTTAGGGTTTAGGGTTTAGGGTTTAGGGTTTAGGTCCCTAAAACCTTAATAGGGATGGTCTTTTGGGACCTAATTCCAGGATGGTACTATGTGTGGAGCCTCTGGGAGTTTGAGAATATGGGGAGGGGGGTCTATGTCATGTAAAGCGCTTACCCCCCCCCTCCAAGCGTAGGATCCTGATCTGTAGGGGTAGCTGTCTGAATTCACTAGGGTCCCTTTTTAGGGTCCTTCTTATAAGGGTGCCATACTATCTTGAGGACCTACAAAGGGACCCTAATTTAGAGAACTATTCATACGTTGTCTTTTGGGCTGACCCTGACCTCGGAGCCTAGGGTTTAGGGCTTTTTGGGGGTTTAGGGTTTAGGGGGGTTTGGGGTTTTAGGGTTTAGGTTTAGGGCACACTCCTGCCACAGACTCACAGAGCTTTATACGGATTCTAAACAGGCTCAATGAGCGCGCAGTTAGGGGGATTGTCCACACCGAAGGTTTTACTAAAATCGCATCCATGTGGGTACTGTCCACACGCAGGATTGTGTCCTTGAGCAATACTGAATACCTGCTGGCCCTAAGAATACGGTCATCGAGACTTCGGAAGAACATCATCCCCAGACGAAGTTGTATCAAAGGCAAGCTGACTGTTGAGGGCCACCAAAGCACCGCACCGAAGCCGAAACCCCACTAGCGTTCGGGTTTCAATAGATAAAACCGCTTCTTTGTTGATGCGGGGTGATTATACTATATGAGGCCCCTATAAACGAGCCTTTGCAAGGGGTAGGGTAAAGCTGCATGCATGTGAATGAAGCTTGTTTCCACAGGGGCGAATCGATGCGCGTATGCTTGCAGCCAGCGCAGCTGCTACCTCACAGACTCCGGATGTGATGGTGTGCTGCAGGTTCTCGTGCCCTCATGGTCCGAATAGCAATCCTAAACCCAAGTTGACTAACAGGTACTTCTAATCCTGATTAGACCGTCAAGCGCTTTGAACGCTTAGGTCCGAATTGCTGAGCGGCCCTAAGGCTCCGTGTACCTGTACAGCTTGCCTCCTATATGGGCACTTTACGGCCTAAGCTCCTAAGTATATACTATGTAGGCACATGGAGCCTTAGGAACTGCTGGCCCAGAAACTTGCCTGTCCAAATCCACAGAGCCCTACAGTATTCCAAAATCTTCGAGACCTATGAACCACTCAAAAGTCAAGCTTCGCCCAACGACTGTGCAGCAGGGTCTTGCAGTAGGGTTTAGGGTTGCCTAAACCCCAAACCCAAAACCCCCCAACCCAAACCCTACGCTGAACCCTCCCCAAGGCTCCATGTACCTGTATGGTATATAGCCGGGCCTTAAAGGTAGCTTTATTGGGACCCCTTTAAGGCCTAAGCATATACTCTGCAGCAGGCGCATGGAGCCTTAGGGCCTCATTAAACCGATTCTAAACCCAAACCCTTAAAAGTTTAGGGTTTATCTTGACCTACCGCCCAAACCTACTTTATTGTAGGGTCCCGAAAAAATCCAATATTAGGGTTGATACTAAGAACCCGCAAAAAAAGTGAGTTTTGGTAGGTTAAGGTGCACTTGGAATGCTAAACCCTAAACCCTAAACCCTCCCTGACCCTAAACCCTACAGTAAACCCTAAACCCTCAACCCTAAACCCTAAACCCTGAACCTGAAGCCTGAACCCTATCGGGGCGGCCACAGCTCGGTTCGCCCGGTTGGGGCTGTTGCCTCGGCCGAGGTTCCCAGAGATGAGACTTCAATGTTTGGGCCACTGTTTAATTTGCGGTTTAGAGTTTTAGGGTTTAGGGTTTAGGGTTTAGGGCGGTTTGGAGTTTTAGGGTTTGGGGTTCGTTGGAGGGAAAGTAGTAGCAGTAGACCTCTACAAACAAGCTAGAACCCTAACCACATGAACCTTTCCCTAAACCCTAAGCCCTAAACCGCAAGCCCCCAAGTCCCGAAACCGGCCACTGAGCCTGAAAGGATGCGGACCTGGGGCGTAAGTATGGGTTGGGGGTTTGTTGTTGGGTCTGTGCTGGGGTTTAGATTTAGCTCTGTTCAGCGTTCAGAGGGGTTTCTGTACTCCCAAACCTCAAACTATATACCATAAACTCCTAAGCCCTATACTCTAAAGCCCGGAACCCCAAACCTCAGGCGTGGGTTACTATACCCCTAGACTCCTAACCCGTGAACCATGAAGCCTACACCCCAGATGTGTCTGGTGTATAGGATTCGGGTTCAACTTTCGGAAATGCAGATGGGGAGTTGAGGTCGTGCAAACTAGCCACTAATAAGGGTGTTAGGGTTGGGTTTAGGGTTTACGGTTTGGGGTGTGTAGGGTTCAGGGATTTGGGGTTTAGCGTACGGGGTTCAGGGTTTAGGGGTTGGTACACAACTGTGAGGATTGTGTTCGGCTTGGTGTCAAAGCGTGTCAGGCATGATGTGGGCTGTTGGTGCTGCTTTGAGGGTTCATGTTGGACGGTTACCGTAAACCCTAAACCCTAAACCCCTAAACCCTAAACTCTAAACCCTAAATAACATGTGATAGTGGTACTGGGGCCAATATGCCATGAGCGCACTGAACCTCGCAGCCGCCAGTGCTAGTATTAGGCCCCTGCATGACCCAAAGGGTCGGCAGTACTTATATAGAATGTAGGGTTTCTATATTAGGGAATTAATATTCTGATTTAGGGAAGTATCCCCCCTAACAGTACTTAGGACCCTTTGGGTGATTAAACCCTAAACCCTAAACCCTAAACCGTGCCTAAACCCTAAACCCTAAACCCTAAACCGTCCCAGAACCTGAACCTGAAAAAATGTGTATGATGCACCGATGCACCCAGCACTTTCGTCCAAGAACCCGAGCGAACCTCTCCTGCCCTAAACCCCTGAACTGCCCTAACCGTAGCTCTGAACCTACGGCGTCAAAAGGTTTAGGGGTTTAGGGTTTAGGGGTTTAGGGTTTAGGGCTCTGAATCCTAATCATGCCCCAATGCAAGCCCTGAATGTGACCTTAAGTCACAAAATCTTGGGTACTTCCCCCACCCTGTAGCAGTCTGTATGTTAGGGGTCACATTAAGGGCTATGTACAGCTATTTTCGAACATGATCCAACTGTTGCAGAGAGGGGGCAGTAACCTACGTAAATCCCAAACGCAGCCCAGAAGACCTAAACCTAAACCCCTAAACCCTCAACCCCAACCGCTAACCCTTACTGTAAACCCCAAAGTTGGAAACCGCATGAAGGACAATTTAGTCTTAAGGATTGAAGCTATTGAGTTTCCAACTTTAGGGCTTCTACTATAAACCGTTCGGCCGAGGGAAGCGCCATACCCAACCCCCTAAAACCCAAGCCCGAAACCCTAAACCCTAATGCTAACCCCTAAACCGTCAACCCCAACCCCTAAAAGCCGAGGGAAGAGTCATACCCAACCCCCTAGAACCGAAGCTCGAAACCCTAAACCCTAATACTACCTGTAGTCTCCATTGTAGTTCCTTTTTTGGTTGAACCAAATATATATATATATATATATATATATATATATATATTAAGGATTCTATAAGGAAGCTCGAAACCCTAAACCCTAAACCCTGAACCCTAAACCCTAAACCCTAAACCCTGAACCCCTGAATACTAACCCCTAAACCGTCAACCCCAACCGCAAACCCCTAAAAGCCGAGGGGAGAGCTGTACCCAAGTAGCTGAAGTAGTCCCAGGCAGGGCCTCCCTCGTGAGATTCCTCGGCCGGATCGCACAATATGGGAGTTTTGGTTAAGGTTTAGTGTTTAGGGTTTAGGGTTTAGGGTTTAGGGTTTATAGGGTTTAGGGCACCTTGTTTGGGGGTCCTCCTTATAAGGATCCTACTGTTTAGGGTACTAAACAGTAAAGTCTCTATTTTCGGAACCCCCGGTGTTGACCCTCAACGATTGTAATGAACCGGTCAGACTAATACACGGGTTAGAGTTTAGGGGTTTAGGGGTTTAGGGGTTTAGGCTTCAGGGCTTAGGGTCAGACTAAACTGTGATTATGTAACTCTCAAATATATCTCTATGTCCTTCCTGTCAAAATTACTATGGACTAGAGTATACCCAAGGCTCCTGTGTTGTGCTTTCTAAGGCCCCTGTAAATAAACATTAGGGTGTGTTTATGGATAGTTACATGTGTACACGTCTACATACGGTTTAGGGTTTGGGGGGTTATGTATTTCTATACACACATGTACGTATACATATCGTAAGCCCCTACAGCAACATACAACAACTGGTAGCTGATGGTAGTTAGGCCAAGCTCCAGGCTTCCGCAGCAACCAACACAACAACACCCGAAACATATGGGTAGTGCTGCAAAGTAGGGTTCCTTTTAAGGGTCCTTTTGTTATAAGGGTGCCGTACTATCTTAACAGAGACCCCAATTTTGAGAACTACGCATATGATTGCTAACAGCAGCAACAGTGATGATGATGGGGCAGGCCATTCTCTCACGAATACCGAAGGTAAGCCACTAAGGTCATGGCAAAGCAACTTGCTTTGGACCAGATAAAAAATAAACCCACCCTAAACCCTAAAACAACAAACTCAACCCTAAAATGAAAAATCAACCCTAAACCCTAAACTCAACTGCTCAACAAGGGCAGGCTCAAGGTGCCGGGTTGCGGGGCTTCGGGG